AGTTTTTTCGACATTAACAGAATATCGACAAAGTTTTGCGCACATTTGCAATGGAAATGCAGCTAATGTGACCAAACATAACAGAATGATTTTTTGTTTGTTTTTATACTCACAACGGAAATAAATTATATAAAAACATGTGATCAATACTACTAATACAAAATGTAAAACATGCTGATTAATTCACGTGTCTGCCTAAATAATCCAACTTCTTTCTAATCATAGTTCTTTCTTTCTTCTCTCAAATTATTTTTAAACACCTTTTAAAACGGCATAATAAGAAGAAGAAGAATTTGACAAATAATGTCTGAATGTTGTAGTAGTTTTTGTGAAATTCAGTATAAACTAGACTATACAGCCAAAAGTATTTGCTCACAATATATATTTTTTTGTTTTATAATGTCACCTCCACTGGCCGTAAAAGGCTCCTGAAAAGACCTTGAAAAATTCCACGGACCACCAGTTGATAATGTAGCTTATTTTGCAGCTCTGGGCACATTTTATTAGTACATTAGTACATTTTATTATTTTGACTGTTAACATTGCAGACCACTGATTTAAATGTTTCCAAATAAACAGAATGAATGAGTTTTTAATGTAAATGTTGAAAATAAATGTTTTCTATAGGAGTAAAATAGATTCAGTGTTTCAGATGGCAAAATGTAAAGTACACATAAAACATAACATTTACTCTGTTTTCAACAAGAAATCCAAGGAAAAGCAGTTAAACCACAAAGAAGTTAAAAATAAGAGTGGGGCGGTTTGAATTATTTCAGTAAATTCCAAACATTTCGTCTTTTTTTGGCTCATATATCATAATAGAGGACTTATAATCACCACAGAGCATGTAACTTTGGTCACTGCTTTGGTGGTAAAACTCTTTCAGTTTCACCTTATTAGAACTTTTGGATGGTCACCAAGCGCTCCTCCTTTGGGAGCCATCCTTCAGAACTGTGCTGACAAGTTGACTCAGTGGTGCAGCTCTGTGGCCGCCACTGAAACGCAAGTTGCTAAGATGGGAAAATCAAGTAGGGGGGGAATCTGAGAAAAAGAAAAATAGAGTAAACAGCAGTGACTTTAGACAGATGTTTTTTTTACTCATGTAATAATAGCAAAGATGCAAGTAAAACAGGTTAGCAGCACTTCAATATGTCTTACAGATCATTTAATCTGCATTTTGAATTAATTAAACTCATTAAAGTCAGAATGAAATGAGTCAACATGTATTATCTTCGTGTCTGTTCTTGTATTCACTTGTCACCACTTTATATTTGTTTATGGAGAATTGAAGTGTTGGAGTGCAATGTTTGATGTGTTCTGATATACACAGTTAGCTGAATGTAGCAATCACTTTGTGGGATTATATTTACTCTTTTATTTGTACTACACTTAACAAATGTGTTATTTTAACCAAGACAAAAAAATATATCTATATAATCCGCATTGGAAGTCCTTATTGGTGCCTCGCTGTGATTTCTTCAGCTTTATAAATTAAATTTTGGAACTTAACGTTTAAAAGTACAAAATAAAATAAACTTTTTGAACACTGACAAAAGTTTCCAGTGGCACAGATCAACCAGTCTGGTGTCATAACGTGAACGTATTATAGGTAAAAGAATAAAAGCTCAATAAGGACTTAAAGTGCTGAGTATACATTATTGCATGAAACCTTGCATGTATGTTTTGTAGTGGATCATATAAAAATATATATGCATTCAATTTCTGAAGATGTATTTATTTATATGTGTAAAGATTTAATAAGTTATTCTAAGCTACAAAGTGAATGAGTGATTCTTTAAGTGGAAAGATGGCAAAGACTCTTCTCAGGGCCTGTTCATTGTTATAAAAGACCAAAAAACAAACACATCTGACTTTCATTTGTCACTTTGTCTTTATTAGGTAACTATAAACAACAGTTCTCTGTGTGAATATATATTTGCTATGATTGGAATAAAAAGCTAGAGCCTGTAAGCTAAACACAACAGTCTGGTAAACTAGTCAGTAGTTCCTGAGTAGTTACTCTTTAATGTCATTGGTAACTACACTGCAAAAACTGTCCATTTTACCAGGTTTTAAAATCTTATTCAGCCAAAAAGTCTTTTTGATCTTGTTTTGAGACTGATTTAC